CTCCATTTTAGAGTAAAAAATGAAGTTGGGTTGGAGATGCCCTAACACCTTCTCACCCATCACCCATCACCAACGAGTTCACCCCACGCGCTATATGGTCCTCGCAGTTAATATATCGAATAGGGGTTATTTATGAATTAATAATAAAAAAAAGAAAAAACATTTTCTAGAGAGAAATTAGAGAGATAGAAAGAAAGAAAATAGAAAAGATAGAAATTTAGTTAGTTAGTTAGTTAATTTTGTTGTTTTTCTTAGGGCATCTCCAACCCAACTCCATTTTTTACTTCAAAATGGAGTAAAAGTGATTAGGGAGTAAAAAATGCTCCAACCCCACTTCATTTCTTACTCCATAATGAGATTTACTCCATAAATGGAGTAATCTATATTTTGTTTGTTCACTACTCCATTATGGAGTTACAAATAGAGTGGGGTTGGAGCATTTTTACTCCATAATCACTTTTACTCCATTTTGGAGGAAAAAATGGAGTTTTACATTGGAGATGCTCTTAGTCACTAGGTACAATTTCCCTATCAAATAATTAATTATTATTTTTGCTAATCTATCCTTTTAAAACTTAATTATCATGAAACTAAAATTAAATTTAAATAGTATGGTATATCACTATATTTCATATAACTAGAGCCTAGAGGGTTTAATAATGATAATTTGATTATTACTTTACAGTGAAACTATTTGATAAATACATCTTATACATGAGGTGAGATTAATCTACTTTTACATGATATTTAAAATTTTATGTATTTCTTATTTTAGTATAACAAGATTTTAAGAAATATTGTAATCATATTATTTAAATATTTAATTAAATTTAAAAATATTATTACAAATGTTACTAATAAATATTAATTCAACTTGAATTAAAACTTTAGAATATTAATTTTCTCATAAAAATACAATTTTCCATAAAAACTATTATATTTTTTAAAATTCAACAATTTTTATTTAAATAAAGAATGAAACAATAGAAAATAAACAAGATATAAATTTAAATTTTAAGAAACGTTCTCAAATCCGTCCCCCCTCTACTCCTCTTCCATTAAGCCGGCGGCTGTCAGAAAAAATCTACGACTGCTTCTACCACATTTATATTAGAGTATTTGCATCCCCTACACACCAATTTTCCCCTAATTCACTAACTACCCTAAATCACCCTTATCTCTCATCCCCTCACTACTTTTTTCCCCTATCCTTTTGGCAAATCCCTAATTTTCTACTTCTTTTGGTATTTCTACCTAATTTACTCTTCATATTATTGGTTTTAATATGTGTTTTTCGCAGTTTCTTGGGAAATAACTTATTTATATTTACCTTTTCTTTATTCGGGTTGCATCAATCCAAATGTAGGGTGCGGATTCTCTTATCCTAAGACGCATGCTTTTGCTTTGGCGGGGACCTGTCGTGGTCCAGACAACGTCGTATTGACGCGTGAGTAACAGCGTGATTTATGGTCGCCTTTCTCTCTCTCGTTTTGCCCTTTAATTTGTTCTTTACCATCCGTTATTTCCGGTTTATAGCTTTATGCCAACTGGTTATCTTTGTTACACGGGTTGGGGTGGAACCCTAGAGTAAGCAGAACTATCCATTAATTTTTCTTCGTTCACATTTATAATGAATGATTAGCTGAAAGTATAGATTTTGCATTAGAAATTTAAAAAGTAATATGTTGTCCAATAAGCAATTGATAATTTATTTACATAATCTGATAAAGTTTTTAGACTTTATTGCTTTAGTTATGTAATTGCTTATTTTATTCATATAGTATTTGAATTGTTAGTTTGCATTTGTTTTTAAAGAACTCAATAGACATATATGTATGCCACTTGTAGAATATTCAGCGGATAATATGGAATATTGTTTGCAATATCTTAACTCTTCAGACTAATTGAAAAGGACAAAAAAATCAAGGCTGGAGCAACCAAGTCAAGCGATAGGGAAAAAAATTAAATTTCCCTATGATATGTGTCCTACTCTGCCCTTTCTATTGCTTCTATTTGAAAGATATCCCGACACACATCATACGGAAACTTAAGTCATTTGATACCGACAGCAAGAAAATACTTGTCGTCGGCACGAAAGCTTTATTTGAGACTAATGTTTAATTTACGAATATGTGAGGCTGTTTTTGTTTTTTTAGTTGCAAAAGACCGATAAAAATTAAACCTGCATTTATTTTTAGTATGAAAAATTATGGTTAGTTTTGATCGGTCTTTTGCACCCTAAAATTTTACCATTGTTGTACCTACGATATGAATTGGTCAATTTTCTCTATTAAAAGAGAAGTACCGTTTTTATCTACTATAAAATAGTCATACTAGATCCATATATTCAGTTAAATTGTTTTGCTTATTTACATAAGTTTATTTAATGTATAACATTTTTAAGTAATTATAAAGATGATAATAACACATTTATTTTTAACTGTAATTTTAAATTTTAGTTTTATTAATCACAAAATCTATTGAGACAAAATCTAACAAAATCCTTTTAAAAATTTAAATAGTTTTTTAATTAATGCACTGATTAATTTCGTAATTAGTAATATAATATTATTATACACTAATCTTAATTAAAATTGATTACAAACAAAAATATAGTATATGCTAATTTTATAAATTTATAAGCATAGTCTATATTATATTAAAATAGAAATAATAAATGAATTACATATAACTTACCTTTTAAAAAGATTAAACATTCGTTAATTATGCAATAAATTTTACAGAAAATAAAATTGCTAACATATATTAAATTTTTATAATTAAAAAAAGAAAAATTACCCGCGCGGTTGTGCGGGTTTAAAATCTAGTTATTGTATATGAGACAAGTCTTTGAATCTTTGTTAAAAAAAAATTTCTACGATTTTAGAGTTGCTCAAAGATCATTGCTATGTTAGAGCATCTCCATTAGTGAACCCCTCTTGGGATTCATATTTTTAATTTTTTATTATTTATTTTTACTGTTTGCTTTTTTAAAAAAAAAAAAAAATTAATCGAACCAATGGATGGCCGACACGTGTCGTGAACAGTGTTGAATCCGTTGGACAGAGGTTCACTGGGAAGAACTCAAAAGAGATGGGATTCAACACTATTCATTATTTTAATATTTTTTTCTGGAAATTCACTGATTGAGATGCCCTTACGTTAGATATCATGGAAAATGGATTATGGCCACGACTAATGTGAGTGTACATGCATGCAAGTCGAAAATATTGTACATAAATTTGTATTTGTAATATATATTGACTACATGGACAAATCTTTTATTACAACCGTTATATATTCACGCAAGTCGTGCATGATTCAGTTCAGATGTTTCATACGTGTGATTACTGGTTAAGAAAACTTTCGGAATTTCTTTGTCAAAAAAAATCTCTCGGAATTTTTCAAGTTGAGTAAGATGACATGTGATGTGGGTCGACGTTTATAACTACGTTGAATAAAAGCTGATTAATGGGAATGATAGAACCATTAGTGGACACATTTTGGGAACTTGCTGCCTGAAAATTGTGATGAAGGGAAAATGGTTTACGGGCGCATATGTATAAAAATAATAGCATAATTTATATTATATTTCCGTGTTTAGAATCTAGACAAACTTAAAAATGAAAATAAAAACAACATATTTTTTTTATTCATTTCAAAAAACTCTTTACAACAAGTGAACATTGATTTGTCAAAAAAGAAAAACAAGTGAACATTGATCTTGTTGGTTGATTAATATAATAATTGAGAAGTAGAGTACTTTTGTTCTTCGTGTTTTCGATAGGTTATTCAAATAGATTTAATATTATTTCTGTAAATAAAAATAAAACGGGTAGTATTTTCTGGTAACGAGTATATAGTAGGAGGAAGCGTGAAGCAAAATTTAAATTTTTATAAATGAGTTTATTATACGATAATATACTATACTATACACGAGTAATGCTTATTTGTTTCCTACTGCGCGATACAGAAACACAGAATGGTCCGGGCAGTAAAAATATGAGCGTCAGCCGTCGCATATACATCAAGATATTGCGTCTGGAAACAAATTACATTTATTTTTTCTCACAATATATATATATATATATATATATAAATAAAGCACAGTCGAATAGGTCACAACACGTGCAACGACCTTGCTTCTTCACCGTCCGATCTCAGTGAATCCAGTCGCCACTAGTAACAAACGACCAGACTAGGCCACGACAACCTAATTTCTTTAATCACATTTTTAGCGTGACCTAATCTTTTTTTTTTCTTTTCATTAGTCACTATTTTTAGTCTCTATGTGGACACGAATGATTGAAAACGAAGATTTTTGTTTTGGTCTTTAGCCAAAATAATATTATTGCCAACCATAACTACAAGAGTAATTTTCTACTTGTAATTTGAAATACTTTTGCTTGGTATTATTATTGTCTAAAATACTACTAATAAAATAATAAAAATACTTCAAGATATCATAAAAAATTGTTTTTAAAATATGGTAATTTGGGAAATAACATTAATCAGAACTCGATTTTTATTTTATATTAGGATTGGAGTTTAGTATTACACGTTATTATTTAGGAAGTACAATTATGATAAATACTTACGATTAATTTAGTTGTTTTATTTTTTAAAGATTTTTTGTTATAATTTTTTTTTATGATCTAAAAACTTTGCTTAACTTATAAGTACTCTGAAAAATTAAAATAAAACAAAAAGATAATTTTTTTTTATCAAAACTAAAGCAAGAGAAAAAAGGTCTTCTCTCAGCTCTGTGCAAGTCTGCAAACCCCCCTTGCCCCCTCATATATTCTCGTTACCATTTTCTCTGACACTTTTTTGTTTAAATAAATAAAGAAAAAGATAAAAAAAAAAGTATTTCTGTGGATTGATAATTGACACAATCGTCATAGAAAGCAGAGTTTTCAAGTTTCAACCTTCTCCTCCTTTCTTTATCTTTCCCTCTCACAAATAGGAAAGTTCGAAACAACTTTATTTTTAATACAAAAAAATCATCGAAACGATGGCGTTTCACAACGATCATCTCTCTCAAGACCTCTCTTTCAATCATTTAACCAACCAAGACGGACCTCCTCCGCAACAGCAACATTTCCACGACGCGCCACAACCTCCTAACTTGCTCAACACGGCTCTTCTCCGCTCAGACAACCTCCACACGTCAACCGCCGCAAGCACCTCCGACTCTCCTCCCTCCGCCGCCACCACCGTCGCAGCTAATCAGTGGCTTTCCCGTTCCTCCTCTTTCCTCCAACGTACCGGAAACAACAACAACGCCAGCGCCGCCGTTGTCGGAGACGTCATCGACGAAGGAGGAGCAGAAACGATGATCGGCGAAGAGAAGAAGAACGACGGAGGAGGAGGAGGAGCGGCGGCGGCGGAGGAGGGAGTAGTGAGCTGGGAGAATGCGAGGCAAAAGGCGGAGATACTATCCCATCCGCTATACGAGCAGCTTTTGTCGGCGCACGTCGCGTGTCTGAGAATCGCGACGCCGGTTGATCAGCTTCCGAGGATCGACGCGCAGCTTGCTCAGTCACATAACGTCGTCGCGAAGTACTCTGCTTTAGGAGCCGGACAAGAACTCGACAAAGAGCTTCACCAGTTCATGGTAGACCTTGTCTTTGATGATTTAAAAATTTAAACATGTTCTGTTCTTTTCTGTCTGAAACTGAAACTGTTCTGTTTTCATGTTTTTTGTCTGTTATAAAACGCAGACGCATTATGTTTTGCTTTTGTGTTCTTTCAAAGAGCAATTACAACAACACGTGCGTGTTCATGCAATGGAAGCTGTGATGGCTTGTTGGGAGATTGAGCAGTCTCTTCAAAGCTTAACAGGTGAGATAGAGAGGCAATGTTTCATCACTGCACTTGACAAGACATGCTGTTTTTATTTTTATTTTTATTTTGTTAACAATATTGTCGGCCCATGTGTGTGTTGTTGGTGAGATAGGTGTGTCTCCTGGAGAAGGTATGGGAGCAACAATGTCAGATGATGAAGATGGACAAGTAGAGAGTGATGCTAATATGTTTGATGGAGGAGGCTTAGTAGATGTATTGGGGTTTGGTCCTCTGGTTCCTACTGAGAGCGAGAGATCTTTAATGGAGCGAGTTAGACAAGAACTCAAACATGAGCTCAAACAGGTAATTAAGCAAAAAATCATTCAAGAACTTGCTACTCTCTGACCAATGTTCTAAAAATCGGTCTAGGCGGAATCGGCAAATCGGACCTTAAACGAAACGATTTTTCTTTAAAAAAAAATTGTTTAGGTGCCCGCCTAATCAATAATTCCCTGCAAAACGCCTAATTACCACCTAGCGATTTCTTGAACATTGTCTCTGACTAACACCACCTAGTACTTTAATCACTTTGCAAGTATCGATAGTGTGTCTATATATCTTCTGAGTCATGTAGTAGTGTATGGTTTGAACTATATGCAAAATTACAAGTAGTAATGTAGAAGCTTTGTTTATTTGGTGTGAAAATAGGGTTACAAGGAGAAAATAGTAGACATAAGAGAGGAGATACTGAGGAAGAGAAGAGCTGGGAAATTACCAGGAGACACCACTTCTGTTCTCAAAGCATGGTGGCAATCTCATTCCAAATGGCCTTACCCTACTGTGAGTTCTCTCTCTCTCACAAACTCATCCTCAGGCCCGAGTAATAACATTGAGCACTACAAATATTTAATTTTGTCAGGAGGAAGATAAGGCGAGGTTGGTGCAGGAGACAGGTTTACAGCTAAAGCAGATAAACAATTGGTTCATTAATCAGAGGAAGAGGAATTGGCACAGCAATCCATCTTCTTCCTCTGTCTTGAAGAACAAACGCAAAAGGTATATATACTATACTTACATAACACTATCTTTTGGTATTAAAGGCATATCCTAAAACTTATCGATTTAACTAGAGTCTGAAACAACTTTGTGTGGATGAAAGCAATACAGGTGACAGTGGCGGAAGAGAGCGTTTCACGTAGAAAGAACAAAATTTATGGAGTGAATTGGGGAGCTGGATTGAGCAGATTTAGGGGTTAAAGTTGGGGCTATACAGGAGAGGGGACAGAGTATTAGAAAGCAACTTTTTGTGAAATTACAACATAGTAAATAGTTTGGTTTTGTGATGCCATATATTTATTAGTACACAGACCAAAGATGAAAAAAAGAAGATTCAGGCTTTTTTGTTTGATGTTTCTTTTTTCAATTGGGATAGTTTGTATGCATGAGTTTTTATTATGGAACCATCATCAGCATGGTATCTTGTGAATAAGACAGTGAGTGGAGGGCATTGGGATACACAGTTTCCATATAAATAAAACATCTCCTTACTAAGTAGGCTTTCATGTTCCAATTGCTTTTGTTTTGTTTTGTTTATTGCCTACTACTTGATAAATCTTATATGCTTGTAATATACTGAGTACATCCATCCATGGTCTCACCAACTGGATCCATTATTGACACTTGTTTGGTAATAAAATTCACATTTTATCCACACAAGTAAAGTATCTCTTTCCTGTTGCTATATTGTCTTCTTATTTCCGGTAATATAATTCACAATTTATCTACAAAAGTATTCCTATCTAAGCATATAAAAAGATCCGAGTGAATAAATACAAAACATGTTATTATTCTCTAAAGCAATGTTTTAGTTACTTTCTACAATATCTATCAATTTAGTCTATAGCCATTTCACATAATCACGCCAAAACTAAACACAAAATTACTATAATTAACCCCTTGTATATGTTTGTACTTTGTATAATAACACAACCAACAAAATAGTTACAAACTGAGAGAAAAATACAAAAAAAAAAGGTATCAAACTTTAATAACAACCGGAGCTACATACCTCTCCGGTGAAGGATTATCACCACCCTCATCAAAATTAAGACTATAGTTTTCAAGATCGTACGTGAAATCCACATCTCTCTTCACTTTCTTCTTTTTGCTAAAACTTCTTATAAAGTTTTTCCACTTTGGTCCCGCAATTTTCTCAGAAATCTCTTTTAGCACCTTAAGTTTTCTGCTCCACCAATTCTCCCTTCTCTCTTCCTGCAAGTTACCACTCCAGCTACCGTCTCCTCCTCCTACTCTTCGCCACCGGAACACATGGAACCTAGGGAGATACCCACACACACAAAACGTCGTCGTTCCGTTGTAATCATCAGAGAGTAGGTTTTCTTGATCTGTGGCCATGAAAAGAGAGAGAGTTTTGGTTAGTGAGTAAAGGAAGAGCACTTTAAAGAAGATTGCTAGACTGATATATACACAAAGGTGAGTGAGATTACGCCACGTGTCGTTCCGACCGTTGGATGATGTAAGTGATGGGGTCTCTTATTGGACTGTTGTTTTGTAAAAGCGTGACGGTTGTGTGAAAGGAGTGACGGTATATTCGCTGGCTAATCATGAAACACAGCTGTGAAGGCGGGAGAGAAACGGTTGCTTTCTTTATTTATTTTCTTCTTTTTTGTCTTTATTGATAATTATGAGATGATATTTTTATTTTTTATTTTTTTGTAATGATTTTGTTGAGTAGATAAGTTTGGTGCATAATAGAATAAAAATCCACTAAGATTGAAATATCTGAAAAAGTGAAAGTGTCTACAATTGTATATTCTAAGAAGAAAAAGTATGTGTGTGTGTGATTATTTTAAAACAGTCTAAACGAAGATCGATGATTTGTAATATAAAACTAGATAAGTATATTCAGTTATATCGAGATATTAACAAAAAAAAGAATCTAAAGTTTCAAAATTAATTAGTACAAATGATGTTATAAGTAATGCTTGCTTGTCATGTTAGTAATTTTTTAACATCTAGCAAAATGAGTATCACTTTTATTGTTTTGAAATGAATTTGTGAGTAGATAAGTTTGGTGCATGATAGAATATAAATCCACTGAGATTGCGTGATCTGAAAAAGTGAAAGTGCATATATACAATTATCTTCTAAAAAAGGGTATAATGAATCTGAAATATGAAGTGATTTGATTTTTAATGAATTTTAGATAATTGTAAATGAATCTAAGAATTTGATGTGATTTTTATTAAATAACTCTAGAATTTCATCTAAAACTATGAGATTTAAATTTAAAATTTTATAAGCAACAATTTCCTCTCAAACACTTTAAAAACATTTAAAGAACTCTAAAAATCTCTCTTTTAAATTTTGTTCAATCACATTGAGTTTCAAAGTATTTTATGAAATGATAAGTTTAATAACCCTAGATTTTAAAATGTTTTTAAAAATCACATTAGATTAATACTGGATTTGTAATACAAATCAGCTCAAACTCCTGGTTTACTTTAAAAGAGTCTAAACTAAGATCGATGATTTGTAATAAAGCTAGATAAGTATATTCAGTTATATCGAGATATTAACAAAAATAAATAAAGAAACAATTTCAAAATTGATCTATATAAATAATGTTAAAAGTAATATTTGTCTGTCATGATAATATAATTTTAACATCTAGCGAATTTCTAGTTTAATAACTGATTCTGAAATTTTATTATTTGTATCTGAAATAATTTATAAAATAATATGAACTTGAGATGTTAAAAATACACTATTGAATTAGATAGAAAAACAAAACTTCCAATAACAAAATTTTACAAAAGAATGGCCAATTAAAAGAGTTATGTTGTTTGTTTGATAAACTCTTATAAGTAAAAATCATGTGTTGACAATTAACATAGACCTTGAGGTTAAATGGAACAATATAATTTGTATGTTTTAACCAGGGGCGGCCCTGACACAAAGCAAAAGAAGTGAGAGCTTCCGGCCGCCATTAGTTAAGTAAAATATCGGCCACTTTTTAGTTAAAAACTCTTCTAGTCTACTGGTGTACACAGCTACTTCCTCTTATTCTGAGCACGGGTTTGAACTGACCTTCAGGCATTTTGGCCAAATATTTTTGTTTTGGCTTGCAGCCCTAAGATTTGTAGGGCCGGCTCTGGTTTCAACATCTGAATTTTGTTAAAAGCGTGATAAAGAGATAGACTAGAACATCTAATAAAGATGATAATACCAAATTAGAGTGATGATAAGTAAAACAAAAAAAGATGACAAAAAAGAGAAGTGAAACAAAAGTAAAAAGTAAGTAAAAAATAAGAAAAAATTAGATTTTGACTCGCGCAGTTGCGTATGATTATTTATACTTATAATTTATGTTTTAAAATTAAAATTTATAATTTAATGATAATTTGTAAATTTTGGTTTGTGTATAAATTGTATTTTTGGTTTCGGTTTGGTTCCGGTCCGACTATAAATTTTTGTTTTTGGTTCAAGAAATGTAGTAGTAGTTCAGTTATTTATGAATATGCGGTTAGTTTGGTTTTTGTTATTTTGAATTGATTTAAATAACAATATAAACAATATTAGAACCCAATAAAATTTCGAGTTCAATTTGAACGTGTGAACCTAAACAAAAATATGAAATTTTCAATTTTAGTTCTGATTTAGTTAGCTATATTTTGGTACATTTTCTGGTTTTTATTTTTATTAAATATCTTTAAATTTTAAATATATTTAGGAAATCGTTATATCTTAAGGTTATATATCATATTAGAAAATATTTGCTAAATTTGGACCTTTATGTGATACAGATAAGATGTATATTCAACAATTATGATCAGAATATACCGTTATCATATTGAAAGTGTGATATATAACCTTAAGATATATATATCGCTATACAATGGTAGTTGAAATTAATTATAAGAAATTTAAATGGATTTCTAATATTTTTGTCGACCTTTAAGGCAGATAAATCAAAACTTTTTTCTTTGAGAAATGGCTTCAATTAATCAATACGTCTTACATAATAAATTAATAATTTAGCCTATACAATTACAGAGACAATATTAAAAACTCATATTATACGTATTATTATACAAATAAAAAGAAGAAAAACATGAAGCCATCAGATTCAAGAAACACAAACACCTTTTCTCAGATTTTTTTCATCAAGGACCAGAGAGCTCCATTCCTTGCACAATTAAAGTAAAGTCAAGAATAAGATCAGAGTATGACATAAACTCATTAATCATGTTGCTACATTCTGAAACACCGTCTGATCTATGGATACCATTTTCAGATGCCAATAAACTTTTATATAAAATATGGATTTATGGTTTAGTACTTAAAGTTGGATAAAGTGTTTAGAGGGTTGAGGTTTGTGTACGGTTTTGAGATTGGAATAATTTCATCATTTTATTATTTAGTAAATGATGTGTTGGGTATTTTATTATTGAATGCTATTTATAATAAAAAAAATTAAAATAGTTATTTATTAATTTTATTAGAAGCTAAATAACTGATAAAATCATGTACACTAATATTTAAACATTTGTTACTGTTTTTTTAAATTATGATGAACCACATATTACTGAATTAAAAAGCAAATGAAATGCATAGTGAGCACATAAGTCTATTTGACTAAACTTTAAAATTCAATGTAAATCATATATGGTTTGTGAAAAATATGAAATTTAATTGGAAAGTTAATATTTTTCGTTTATGTTTTTATTGAAAACATATTTTCGGATCTTTTCTATACAAAATTTAAAAAAAAAAACTCAAACAATAAGATATGACAAGTTAAGAATACAGTCTGAAACTAAAAGATTGATATATTTTTTATTAGGTGGAAAATTGCACACGTTAAGTTATTTTTGATGGTATCATAGATTTTATGAATATTTTGTGAAGCTGATAAAGTATTGTGAGTATCCAAAAACGTAACTATATTTAATATACTGTAACATATTATGTTTACGCATCTCATTTATTTATTTACTAGGATAAGACCCACGCCTTGCGCGGAATGAAGTTATTATTTTATTATTTTTTAGAAAATGAAACAAAAATTCGGTTTCATCTAGATTAAGGATGTTCAATCTGGATATCGGGTTTCAGTATTTTGGTTATTAAAATATAACTAATATTCTAAATCCATATTTACTTCAGTTTAATTTTGTTTATATATTGGTTTTCAGTTTATTCAATTTTGTACCAAAATACATCATTATTTAGTTTGAAATCATATTATATATTATAAAAATAATTAATGTGATCACATTTAGAGTCATATTATCAAACAGTCATTTACTAAAAACAATATTATATATTTAACTAAAATAATAAAAAACAAAAAAAGCTTCTATGATCTAATAAAATGATCAAATCTAGAATTAATATCAAATCTGTAAATTTTGAAAATAAAAATAAAAACAAAACAGAAGCATGAAAGAAAAGTTTTTATATTCTTCCATATTTAGTGTTCATCAAATTAACATATCTTCGATTGAACACAACCCTGTTTGTTT